CCCCCATTGCCCCCCATTGTCCCCCATTACCCCCCATTACCCCCCATTACCCCCATAACCCCCATTCCCCCCATTACCCCATTGCCCCCCATTGTCCCCCATTGCCCCATTACCCCATTACCCCATTCCCCCCATTGCCCCATTACCCCCCATTACCCCCATTCCCCCATTGCCCCCCATTGTCCCCCTTGCCCCTCCTCACTTCTCCCGCAGGCGCCGCAGCTCCAGGCGCAGGTCCCGGTCCTCGGGGTCCGTGTCCCCATCGCTGCTCATGGGGGACGAGGGGGACCCGGGGGGGCGCGGGGGGGCCCCGGGGGGGTGGGGGGTGCCCCCCGTGCCCCCCCCGCTTTCGCTTTCGGAGCTGGGATCTCCCCATTCGCCTTCACTTTGGGGGGGGGCGGATTCGGGGTGCGGTGGCTGGGGGGGAGATAGGGGGGATGTGGGGTGATGGGGTAATGGGGGGATAGGGATATAGGGGTGATGGGGGGTATAGGGGTGATGGGGGGACAGGGGTGATGGGGGCATAGAGGAGTGATAGGGTTATAGGGGTGATAGGATATAGGGGTGATGGGGGGGTATAGGGGTGATGGGGATATAGGGAAGATAGGGTATAGGGGTGATGGGGGGGTATAGGGGTGGTGGGGGGTAAAGGGCCCCATCATGCACCCCCCAAACACCCACCTGGCAATGACCTGGCCCAGAGTGGTCCCCAAGATCCTGCTGCTCCTCTGTGGGTCGGGGGGGGTCACAAAGGGGGGTCACAAATGGGGGTCACAAAGGGAGTGTAATGAGGGGGGGTCGCAATGGGGGGGTCACAAGGGGGTCTGCTGAGGGATCACAAATGGGGGGGTTACAAAGGGGTCTCTGATGGGGGGGTTAGAATGGGGGGGTCACAAAGGGGGGTTACAATGGGGGGTCAGAAGGGGGTCTTTGATGGGTGGTCACGAATGGGGGGTTACAATGGGGGTTACAATGGGGGGGTTCATAAGGGGGGGTGACAATGGGGGGGTCAAAATGGGGGTCACAATTGGGGCATCGCAATTGGGGGTTGACAATGGGGATTACAATGGGGATCATAATGGGGGTGTCACAAAGGGGGGGTCCCAATGGAGGGGTCACAATGGGGATCACATTGGGGGTGTCACAATGGGGGGGTCCCAATGGGGGGGTCACAATGGAGGGATCAAAATGGGGGTGTCACAAAGGGGGGTCCGAATGAGGGGGTCACAATGAGGTGTTCACAATGGGGGAGTCACAATGGGGATTACAATGGGGGTGTCACAAATGGGGGGTCCCAATGGAGGGGTCACAATGAGGGTCACAATGGGGGGGTCCCAAAGGGGGGGGTCCCAAAGGGGGGTTCCCAAAGGGGGGGTCCCAATGAGGGGGTCACAATGGGGGGTTCCCAAAGGGGGGTTCCCAAAGGGGGGTTCCCAAAGGGGGGGTCCCAATGGGGGGTTCACAATGGGGGTCACAATGAGGGGGTCACAATGAGGGGGTCCCAAAGGGGGGGTCACAATGAGGGGGTCACAATGGGGGGTTCCCAAAGGGGGGTTCCCAAAGGGGGGGTCCCAAAGGGGGGGTCCCAAAGGGGTGTCCCCAATGTGTTCCCGGGGGGGGGGGGGCGGTACCTGCGCGGGGGGGGCTCCCGGCGGGGGGGGGCTGGCGCAGGCGCCGGGCCCAGCTCTTGATGCGGCGGCTCCAGCCCCTCCTGGGCACGGGGCTCTTGAGGCGGGGGCAGCTGAAGCCGAGGGGGAAGGGAGCGCGGGCGGGGGGGGGCTCCGGGTCCCTGGGGGGCTATGGGGGACAGGGAGGGGTTGGGGGGCACCGGGTCCATGGGGGGCTATGGGGGGACAGGGAGGGGTTGGGGTGCGATGGGAGCTGGGGGGCTATGGGGGGACAGGGAGGGGTTGGGCTCTGGGTCCATGGGGGGCTATGGGGGACAGGGAGGGGTTGGGGTGCGCCGGGTCCATGGGGGGCTATGGGGGGACAGGGAGGGGTTGGGGTGCGATGGGAGCTGGAGGGCACCGGGTACATGGGGGGCTATGGGGGACAGGGAGGGGTTGGGGTGCGATGGAGCCTGGGCTCCCGCAGAGATGGGGGGCTATGGGGGGACAGGGAGGGGTTGGGGTGCGCCGGGTCCATGGGGGGCTATGGGGGGACAGGGAGGGGTTGGGGTGCGCCGGGTCCATGGGGGGCTATGGGGGGACAGGGAGGGGTTGGGGTGCACCGGGTCCATGGGGGATGGGGGACAGGGCGGGGTTGGGGGCCCGGGTCCACGGGGGGCTATGGGGGACAGGGAGGGGTTGGGGTGCAATGGGAGCTGGGGACCGGGTCCATGGGGGGGCACCAAGGGGTTGGGGTGTGATGGGAGCTGGGGGTCCGGGGTCCATGGGGGCTATGGGGGGACAGGGAGGGGTTGGGGTGTGATGGGGGCTGGGGGGCACCGGGTCCATGGGGGGCACCAAGGGGTTGGGGTGCGCTGGGAGCTGGGGGGCACCGGGTCCATGGGGGGCACCAAGGGGTTGGGGTGTGATGGGGGCTGGGGGGCTCCGGGTCCATGGGGGGCTATGGGGGGACCCCAAGGGGTTGGGGTGTGATGGGAGCTGGGGGGCACCGGGTCCATGGGGAGCAGCAAGGGGTTGGGGTCCTCTGGGCCTTGGGGGGCACCGCGTCCATGGGGGGACCCCAAGGGGTTGGGGTGCTCTGGGACTCGGGGGGCACCAGGTCCATGGGGGTCTATGGGGGACCCCAAGGGGTTGGGGTTCAGCACTGACCACCCCCATCCCATGGGGCACATCCATTACTGGGGGCCTGGCCCCGATCACCTCCGGTCCTATGGGTCCGGCCTCCTCCTCCCCATGGGTCCCATCCGGCTCCTGGTGCTGGGGGTCCCCGGCTTCGGCCTCGCTGCCCCCCTGCTCCCAGTGCCCCATGGGCTCCCCAGCACTGGGGCCTTGGGGGGCACCGAGCTCCAGGCCTTCGGGGTCCTCCTCCTCTTGGGGTACCCCAAGGCCTCGAGGGCCACCGAGCCCATGGTCTATGGGGCCGGCGGCCTCTGGGCTATGGGGCGTGGGGAGCCCTGCGCCATCCGGCCCCATTGCTGCTGCTTGAGGGCCACCAAGGTCTGAGGTGCCCAGGGCTCGGCGAGGGGCTGCGGGACCCCCAGGACCTGCAGTGGGGGGACCCCAAACCCATTGTGGGATGGGGACCCCAATGTCCCAACCCCATTGATGTCATTGTAGGGTTGGGGACCCCAACGTCCCAACCCCATTGTGGGATGGGGACCCCAATGTCCCAACCCCATTGATGTCATTGTAGGGTTGGGGACCCCAACGTCCCAACCCCATTGATGTCATTGTAGGGTTGGGGACCCCAATGTCCCAACCCCATTGATGTCATTGTAGGGTTGGGGACCCCAACGCCCCAACCCCATTGATGTCATTGTAGGGTTGGGGACCCCAACGCCCCAACCCCATTGATGTCATTGTAGGGTTGGGGACCCCAACGTCCCAACCCCATTGATGTCATTGTAGGGTTGAGGATCCCAATGTCCCGACCCCATTGATGTCATTGTAGGGTTGGGGACCCCAACGTCCCGATCCCATTGATGTCATTGTAGGGTTGAGGACCCCAACGCCCCAACCCCATTGATGTCATTGTAGGGTTGGGGACCCCAACGCCCCAACCCCATTGATGTCATTGTAGGGTTGGGGACCCCAACGTCCACCCAAAACCCACCAACCCCATTGATGTCATTGTAGGGGTGACCCCAGGTCGAGTCCAACCCCATTGATGTCATTGTAGGGTTGGGGACCCAACCAACCCAACCCAATGTCCCAACCCCATTGTGGGATGGGGACCCCAATGTCCCAACCCCATTGATGTCATTGTAGGGTTGAGGACCCCATTATCCCAACCCCATTGATGTTATTGTAGGGTTGAGGACCCCAGTGTCCCGACCCCATTGATGTCATTGTAGGGTTGGGGACCCCATTATCCCAACCCCATTGATGTCATTGTAGGGTTGAGGATCCCAACGCCCCGACCCCATTGATGTCATTGTAGGGTTGAGGACCCCAATGTCCCAACCCCATTGATGTCATTGTAGGTTTGGGGACCCCAACATCCCGACCCCATTGATGTCATTGTAGGGTTGAGGACCCCAACATCCCAACCCCATTGATGTCATTGTAGGGTTGAGGACCCCAATATCCCAACCCCATTGATGTCATTGTAGGGTTGAGGACCCCAACATCCCAACCCCATTGATGTCATTGTAGGTTTGGGGACCCCAACATCCCGACCCCATTGATGTCATTGTAGGGTTGAGGACCCCAGTGCCCCAACCCCATTGATGTCATTGTAGGGTTGAGGACCCCAACGTCCCAACCCCATTGATGTCATTGTAGGGTTGGGGACCCCAATCCCCCCCATGTCCCTTCACCCACCGGTGGCCTCCCGGTTCCTGATGGTTTGATTGATGCAGAACCTCCAGCGACCCACGGGGGACGATTGGGGGGCCCCTTCTATTGTCAATGAAGAGGGGGGAGTGCTCAGATTTGGGGTCCCCCCATTGCCACCCCCATACCCCCCCCTTCCCCATCACTCACCACTCACCACCGGCTCCATCGCTCCAACCTATGGGGAGACCCCATTGGGGTTGGTCAATGGATGGAGGAGGGGGGGATGGGATGGGATGACCCAAATGGGACATTGAAATAGGGGGGATAGGGGGTACCTGGGGGTCCCCATGGGGGGCACCGAGGACCCCCCGCGCCCGCGCCACGATGCCCTTGAGCTCCTCCACAAACTTCTCCCTTTCGGCCTCCAACACGAAGTTGTCCTCAACCTTCATGGGGGGGGGGGGGGTTAAATATTGGGGTGGGGGATGGGATTGGGGGGGTGTTTTGGGGTGTTTTGGGGTGTTTTGGGGTGCAGGGTTTGGGGGGGTCACCATATAAGAAGCGATGTCCTCAGGGGCGTCCCCATCGGCGTCGAACTTGAAGGTCACCATCTTGCAGTCGTGGGTCTCCAGTTGGCACTCGACGGTGTTGTCCCCCGGTGAGGAGACCTGCGTGGAGGTCACTTATGGGGTGTCCATCCCCCCCCCCCCCCTAACCCTGCCCCATAGGGGGCTATGGGGCGCACCCCCCCCTGTCCCTGCCCCACACTGACCTGGAGCGCCGTGAGCTGGAAGCGGGGCCGCGGGCAGGAAGCGCGGCGCTGGCGCCATCGGTCCCCACGGCCACCGGTGTCCGGGGGGGTGGGGGAGGCCTCGGGGGTGCGCAGGGAGGGGGAGGGGTCCGGGGGGGCCAGGGGGGGTCGGGGGGGGGTGGGAGGGGGGTGGAGGTGGGGGGTGGGGGGGGGGGGGGATCTCTATGGGGGGTGGGATGAGGGATGGAGGTGGGGGCATCCCTGTGGATGGGGGCATCTCCATGGGTGGGGGCATCTCCATGGTTGGGGGCATCCCTGTGGATGGGGGCATCCCTATGGATGGGGGCATCCCTATGGATGGGGGCATCTCCATGGGTGGGGCTATCCCTGTGGATGGGGGCATCCCTATGGATGGGGGCATCTCCATGGGTGGGGGCATCTCCATGGTTGGGGGCATCCCTGTGGATGGGGGGATCCCTATGGATTGGGGCATCCCTATGGATGGGGGCATCTCCATGGTTGGGGGCATCCCTATGGATTGGGGCATCCCTATGGATGGAGGCATCCCTATGGATGGGGGCATCTCCATGGTTGGGGGCATCCCTGTGGATGGGGGGATCCCTGTGGATGGGGGCATCCCTATGGGTGGTGGCACCCCTTGAGGTGGTGGCATCTCCATGGTTGGAGCCATCTCCATAGGTGGTGGAATCCCTATGGATGGGGGCATCTCCATGGTTGGTGGCACCCCAGATGGAGGTGGCATCCCTGGACCCGGTGGCATCCCAATGGACGGCGGCATGGCTGAGGAAGGTGGCATCCCAACGGCAGACGGCATCTCCATGGTTGGTGGCATCCCTGGGGCTGGTGGCATCCCTTGGGATGGGGGTATCCCAATGGGTGCTGGCATCCCAATAGGGGCTGGCATCTCCATGGGTGGCGGCATCACTTGGGCTGGTCCCATCCCCATCGCTGGTGGCATCCCTGGCCCTGGTGGCATCCCAATGGATGCTGGTGGCATTCCAGGTAGAGCCGGTGCCATCCCCATCGTTGGTGGCATCTCTGGACCACCTTGGCCTGGTGGCTTCCCACTTGGTGCTGGCATCCCCAGGGCTGGTGGCAACCCTGGGGCTGATGGCATCGTGGTACCCGATGGTGGCATCCCAGTAACTGGTGGCATCCCGGTACCTGATGGTGGCATAGTGGTACCCAATGGTGGCATCCCAGTAACTGGTGGCATCCCTGGGGCTGGTGGCATCCCAGTACCCAATGGCGGCATCCCAGTACCTGGTGGTGGCATCGTGGTACCTGATGGTGGCATCCCGGTACCCAATGGTGGCATCCCTGGGGCTGGTGGCATCCCGGTACCTGATGGTGGCATCCCGGTACCCAATGATGGCATCCCGGTAGCTGGTGGCATCCCTGGGGCTGATGGCATCCCAGTACCCAATGGTGGCATCCCGGTACCTGATGGTGGCATCCCGGTACCTGGTGGCATCACTGGGGCTGGTGGCATCCCAGTACCCAATGGTGGCATCCCGGTACCCAATGGTGGCATCCCGGTACCTGGTGGCATCACTGGGGCTGGTGGCATCCCGGTACCTGGTGGCATCGTGGTACCTGATGGTGGCATCGTGGTACCCAATGGTGGCACCCCAGTACCCAATGGTGGCATCCCGGTACCTGGTGGTGGCATCCCAGTACCCAATGGCAGCACCCCAGTACCCAATGCTGCCATTCCAATACCTGCAGGTGCCATCCCAGGCCCTGGTGCCCCCGGTGCCGGTTGTGGCCGTGCCACCCCCATGGGTGCCATCCCCCAGCTCCGCGTCACCCCCAGTTCCCCGTCCCCAGTGGGGGGCTCCAGCCCCACCACGGTGGCACCTCCGGTGACGTCCATCGATGTCCCCTCCACCTATGGGGCAAAGCAGGGCAATGGGACCTGACCCCCTTGTCCCCACCCCACGGCGCCGGCGCAACCGGGACCCACCTGCAATGGGACGTGGGGGGCGCAAGGAGGGGGTGCCCCATCTTGGGGGGGGCCTGGTTGGTAGCACCCAAGGGGACCACGGCTGCTGGTGGCATCTGCCATGGGTCCGGTGTCCGAGAGCCCCTCGGCTGCTGAGGGGCAGCCAAGGGGTGAGCGGTGATGGGAGACCACCAGGCATGGGGTGGGCAATGGGGGCTCAATGGGGTGGGCAATGGGGGTTCAATGGGGTGGGCAATGGGGGTCCAATGGGGTGGGCAATGGGGGTCCCATGGGGTGGGCAATGGGGGCTCAATGGGTTGGGCAATGGGGAGCCCATAGGGTGGGCAATGGGGGTTCAGTGGGGTGGGCAATGGGGGCTCAATGGGGTGGGCAATGGGGGCTCAATGGGGTGGGCAATGGGGGTTCAGTGGGGTGGGCAATGGGGGCTCAATGGGGTGGGCAATGGGGGCTCAGTGGGGTGGGCAATGGGGGCTCAATGGGGTGGGCAATGGGGGCTCAATGGGATGGGCAATGGGGGTCCAATGGGGTGGGTAATGGGGGCTCAATGGGGTGGGCAATGGGGGTCCCATGGGGTGGGCAATAGGGGTCCCATGGGGTAGGCAATGGGGGTCCCATAGGGTGGGAAATGGGAGCTCCATCGGGTGGACAATGGATGTCCCATAGGGTGGTCAATGGGGATCCCATAGGTGGTCAATGGGGATCCCACGGGTTGTCCAATGGATGTTCCACAGGATGGCCAATGGGGATCCCATAGGGTGGGCAATGGGGATCCCATGGTGTGGGCAATGGGGATCCCACGGGATGTCCAATGGATGTCCATGGTGTGGCCAATGGGGATCCCACGGGATGTCCAATGGCTGTCCATGGTGTGGCCAATGGGGATCCCACGGGATGGCCAATGGATGTCCATAGTGTGGCCAATGGGGATCCCATGGGATGTCCAATGGATGTCCATAGTGTGGTCAATGGGGATCCCACGGGATGGCCAATGGATGTCCATAGTGTGGCCAATGGGGATCCCATGGGATGTCCAATGGCTGTCCATGGTGTGGGCAATGGGGATCCCATGGGATGGCCAATGGATGTCCCATAGGATGGCCAATGGGGATCCCATAGGGTGGTCAATGGGGATCCCATGGGGTGGCCAATGGGGATCCCACGGGATGTCCAATGGCTGTCCATGGTGTGGGCAATGGGGATCCCACGGGATGTCCAATGGATGTCCATGGTGTGGCCAATGGGGATCCCACGGGATGTCCAATGGATGTCCATGGTGTGGCCAATGGGGATCCCACGGGATGTCCAATGGATGTCCATGGTGTGGCCAATGGGGATCCCATGGTGTGGCCAATGGTGATCCCACGGGATGGCCAATGGATGTCCATGGCGTGGGCAATGGGGATCCCACGGGATGTCCAATGGCTGTCCATGGTGTGGTCAATGGGGATCCCACGGGATGGCCAATGGATGTCCATGGTGTGGCCAATGGGGATCCCATGGTGTGGCCAATGGGGATCCCACGGGATGTCCAATGGCTGTCCATGGTGTGGCCAATGGGGATCCCACGGGATGTCCAATGGATGTCCATGGTGTGGTCAATGGGGATCCCATGGGATGGCCAATGGATGTCCATGGTGTGGGCAATGGGGATCCCACGGGATGTCCAATGGATGTCCATGGTGTGGGCAATGGGGATCCCATGGGATGTCCAATGGATGTCCATGGTGTGGGCAATGGGGATCCCACGGGATGCCCAATGGATGTCCATAGTGTGGGCAATGGGGATCCCACGGGATGTCCAATGGCTGTCCATGGTGTGGGCAATGGGGATCCCATGGGATGTCCAATGGATGTCCATGGTGTGGGCAATGGGGATCCCATGGGGTGTCCAATGGGGATCCCACGGGATGTCCAATGGATGTCCATGGTGTGGCCAATGGGGATCCCACGGGATGTCCAATGGATGTGCATAGTGTGGCCAATGGGGATCCCACGGGATGTCCAATGGATGTCCATAGTGTGGGCAATGGGGATCCCACGGGATGGCCAATGGAGGTCCCATAGGGTGGCCAATGGGGATCCCATGGTGTGGGCAATGGGGATCCCACGGGGTGTCCAATGGATGTCCATGGTGTGGGCAATGGGGATCCCACGGGATATCCAATGGATGTCCATGGTGTGGGCAATGGGGATCCCACGGGATGTCCAATGGATGTCCATAGTGTGGGCAATGGGGATCCCACGGGATGGCCAATGGAGGTCCCATAGGGTGGCCAATGGATGTCCATGGTGTGGGCAATGGGGATCCCACGGGATGTCCAATGGCTGTCCATAGTGTGGGCAATGGGGATCCCACGGGATGTCCAATGGCTGTCCATGGTGTGGCCAATGGGGATCCCATGGGGTGTCCAATGGGGATCCCACGGGATGGCCAATGGCTGTCCATGGCGTACCCCATGCGGCTCTCACCGTGCTGCCGCAGCAGCTGCTGCCGTACGTGCTGATCCACCTCGGTGTCCTCGCTCTCGGGGGGACCCCGACCCTCGGCCTGCTTCCGCTCCCGGCTCCTCCGCACCACGGCCAAGCGGTCCCGGATGGATTTGGCCACGGCCTTGGAGTCGCTCTCATGGAAGAAGCCGGATTTCACCTGGTACAAGGGGAAGCAATGGGAAAGGGGGTTCAGCACCAAGGACAGCGGCAACCGATGGGGGCGGTGGGAGGGGCATTGGGATGGAAGGGTCCCAGATGAGGTTGATGCTCCCAATGAAGGGTTTATGGGTGTATTTATGGGTGCCATTGGCTCTGGAAGGGTTCAAGATGAGGTTGAGGCTCCCAATGAAGGGTTTATGGGTGTATTTATGGGTGCCATTGGCTCTGGAAGGGTTCAAGATGAGGTTGATGCTCCCAATGAAGGGTTTATGGGTGTATTTATGGGTGCCATTGGCTTTGGAAGGGTCCCAGATGAGGTTGATGCTCCCAATGAAGGGTTTATGGGTGTATTTATGGGTGCCATTGGCTTTGGAAGGGTCCCAGATGAGGTTGAGGCTCCCAATGAAGGGTTTATGGGTGTATTTATGGGTGCCATTGGCTTTGGAAGGGTCCCAGATGAGGTTGATGCTCCCAATGAAGGGTTTATGGGTGTATTTATGGGTGCCATTGGCTCTGGAAGGGTTCAAGATGAGGTTGAGGATCCCAAGGAAGGGTTTATGGGTGTATTTATGGGTGCCATTTGCTTTAGGAGGGTCCCAGATGAGGTTGAGGCTCCCAATGAAGGGTTTATGGGTGTATTTATGGGTGCCATTGGCTTTGGAAGGGTTCAAGATGAGGTTGAGGACCCCAATGAAGGGTTTATGGGTGTATTTATGGGTGCCATTGGCTTTGGAAGGTTCCCAGATGAGGTTGAGGACCCCAATGAAGGGTTTATGGGTGTATTTATGGGTGCCATTGGCTTTGGAAGGGTTCAAGATGAGGTTGAGGCTCCCAATGAAGGGTTTATGTGTGTATTTATGGGTGCCATTGGCTCTGGAAGGGTTCAAGATGAGGTTGATGCTCCCAATGAAGGGTTTATGGGTGTATTTATGGGTGCCATTGGCTTTGGAAGGGTTCAAGATGGGGTTGAGGCTCCCAATGAAGGATTTATGGGTGTATTTATGGGTGCCATTGGCTTTGGAAGGGTTCAAGATGAGGTTGAGGCTCCCAATGAAGGGTTTATGGGTGTATTTATGGGTGCCATTGGCTTTGGAAGGGTCCCAGATGAGGTTGATGCTCCCAATGAAGGGTTTATGGGTGTATTTATGGGTGCCATTGGCTTTGGAAGGGTTCAAGATGGGGTTGAGGCTCCCAATGAAGGGTTTATGGGTGTATTTATGGGTGCCATTGGCTTTGGAAGGGTCCCAGATGAGGTTGAGGCTCCCAATGAAGGGTTTATGGGTGTATTTATGGGTGCCATTGGCTTTGGGAGGGTTCAAGATGGGGTTGAGGCTCCCAATGAAGGGTTTATGGGTGTATTTATGGGTGCCATTGGCTTTGGAAGGGTTCAAGATGAGGTTGAGCCTCCCAATGAAGGGTTTATGGGTGTATTTATGGGTGCCATTGGCTTTGGAAGGGTCCCAGATGAGGTTGATGCTCCCAATGAAGTGTTTATGGGTGTATTTATGGGTGCCATTGGCTCTGAAAGGGTTCAAGATGAGGTTGAGGCTCCCAATGAAGGGTTTATGGGTGTATTTATGGGTGCCATTGGCTCTGGAAGGGTTCAAGGGGAGGTTGAGGACCCCAATGAAGGGTTTATGGGTGTATTTATGGGTGCCATTGGCTTTGGAAGGGTCCCAGATGAGGTTGAGGACCCCAATGAAGGGTTTATGGGTGTATTTATGGGTGCCATTGGCTTTGGAAGGGTCCCAGATGAGGTTGATGCTCCCATTGAAGGGTTTATGGGTGTATTTATGGGTGCCATTGGCTTTAGAAGGGTTCAAGATGAGGTTGATGCTCCCAATGAAGGGTTTATGGGTGTATTTATGGGTGCCATTGGCTTTGTAATAGGTTCCAGCTCCTGAAGGACCAACCTCAACCATTATGGACCTTCAGGGGAGGCTGAAGCCAACCTGACGCCACCAACCCCACTGATGTTCTCCCTTGCCCCACGGAGTTCCCCATCCCCCCCTCACCATCTCATAGGCCACCTCCTCGGGGACATCGGCCTCCAGGTTGAAGCTGAACTCGATGGCTTCGTTGTCCTTGTGCTTGCCCTTGAGCTTCTTGGGGTCCTCCACCCAGAGGCGCAGCGCGAGGCAGGGCTCGGGCCCCACCGCCTCCTCGGCCAGCTCCACGCGCAGCCCCGTGTCCTCGGCGAAGAACGCGTGGTTCAGCAGGTCCCTGATGGACAACCTGGGGGGGGCCGGGGTGCGCTCAGCACCCCCATGGGAACGGGGGACCCAAGGACCCTCATAGAGAGGGGGTCATCGCCCACCTCTCGGCCTTGTTCTGCCGGATGCAGCCCTCGATGATGTCCCGCACCTCCGGGTCGGTCACCTTGGAGAAGCTGGCTGGTTTGATGCCCTGTGGTGGGGGGGGAACCGGTGCGGTGGGGACAGCACCGGGATGGGGGCACCGCGGGGATGATGTCACCGGCACAATGATGATGGGACCACTGTGATGATGCTATGGTGGTGAAGATGCCACCACAATGATGATGGGACCACAGTGATGATGCTATGATGGTGAAGATGCCACCACAATGATGATGGGACCCTCGTGATGATGTTATGGTGGTGAAGATGCCACCACAATGATGATGGGACCACTGTGATGATGCTATGGTGGTGAAGATGCCACCACAATGACGATGGCACCACCGTGATGATGCTATGGTGGTGAAGATGCCACCACAATGATGATGGGACCACAGTGATGATGCTATGATGGTGAAGATGCCACCACAATGATGATGGGACCCTCGTGATGATGTTATGGTGGTGAAGATGCCACCACAATGATGATGGGACCACTGTGATGATGCTATGGTGGTGAAGATGCCACCACAATGACGATGGCACCACCGTGATGATGCTATGGTGGTGAAGATGCCACCACAATGATGATGGGACCACAGTGATGATGCTATGGTGGTGAAGATGCCACCACAATGATGATGGGACCACTGTGATGATGCTATGGTGGTGAAGATGCCACCACAATGATGATGGCACCACCGTGATGATGCTATGGTGGTGAAGATGCCACCACAATGACGATGGCACCACTGTGATGATGCTATGGTGGTGAAGATGCCACCACAATGACGATGGCACCACCGTGATGATGCTATGGTGGTGAAGATGCCACCACAAGGATGGTGGAACCATAATGATGATGCTATGGTGGTGAAGGTGCCACCACAATGACGATGGGACCACTGTGATGATGCTATGGTGGTGAAGATGCCACCACAATGACGATGGCACCACCGTGATGATGCTATGGTGGTGAAGATGCCACCACAATGATGATGGGACCACTGTGATGATGCTATGGTGGTGAGGATGCCACCACAATGACGATGGCACCACCGTGATGATGCTATGGTGGTGAAGATGCCCCCACAATGATGATGGAACCACCGTGATGATGCTATGGTAGTGAAGATGCCACCACAACGACGATGGCACCACCGTGATGATGCTATGGTAGTGAAGATACCATCACAATGATGATGGCACCACCATGATGATGCCACCACCATGATGCCACCACCACCACCACGATGATGCCACCACGATGACACCAACACCAAGATGACACCAGTACAATGCCAACGCCAATGCAACGACGATGCCACCATGGTAACGCTACCGTGACCATGACGCTACCACCACCACGATGCCACCACGACCATGACGATGCCACCACAATGACGATGCCACCACCATGAGGATGCCCCCCCCACCACCCCCCGGCGACCCACGCTGGTGACTTTGCGGTAGATCTGCGCCGCGTTCTGGCACTCGGAGTAGGGATACTCGGAGGTGCCCATCTCCAGCATGCACATCCCGAAGGCGTAGACGTCCACCGACTCGTCGTAGCGCTCCTCATACATCTCCGGGGCCATGAACTCGGGGGTCCCTATGGGATAGGGGTGGTGAGAGGCAGGAACCCAACACCACCGCCATCACCACCACCACAATCACCAGCACCACTACCACCAACGTCACCACCACCACCATCACCATCACCACCATCACCATCACCACCGCCATCACCACCATCACCACCATCACTATCACCAACACCACCACCATCACTACCACCACCATCACCACCATCACCATCGCCACCACCATCACCATTACCACCACCACCATCACCATCGGCACCAACACCATCACCACCACCACCACCATCACCACCACCACCACCACCTTCACCAACACCATCACCACCATCACCATCACCACCGCCATCACCATCGGCACCATCACCATCACCAACACCAGCATCATTACCATGACCACCACCACCACCACCATCACCACCATCACCACCACCACCACCACCATCACCACCACCCCCCCCCCCCATCACCATTGGGCACACCGGGGCTCACCAATGACGCTCTTGGCAAAGGAGGTCCTCATGAGCGTGGCCAGCCCCAGGTCCCCGATCTTGACGGAGCCGGTGGGGCCCGTGATGAAGATGTTGTCACACTTGAGGTCCCGGTGGATGATGGGGGGGGTCCGCGTGTGCAGGAAGTGGAGCCCCTTCAGGATCTGCCGGCACCAGCTCCGCAGCACCTTGGGCTTCATCACCTTGAACCTCTTGAGGTACCTGGGAGGGGGTCAGGCTCAATGGGAGACCTCAGCCATTGCCCCCATGATGGCTTTGGGGTCTCCTTCTCCTTGGAATTGGGTTCAGGCTCAATGGGAGACCTCAGCCATGGGGTCCAGGATGAATGTGAGGCCTCCTTGTCTATGGAAGTGGGTTCAAGCTCAATGTGAGACCTCAGCCATTGCCCCCATGATGGTTTTGGGGTCTCCTTCTCCTTGGAAGTGGGTTCAGGCTCAATGGGAGACCTCAACCATGGGGTCCATGATGAATTTGGGCTCTCCATGGCATTGTAACTGGGTTCAACCTCAATGTGAGACCTCAACCATGGGGTCCATGATGAGTTTGGGCTCTCCATGGCATTGTAAGTGCGTTCAACCTCAATGTGAGACCTCAAGCATTGCCCCCATGATGGTTTTGGGGTCTCCTTCTCCTTGGAATTGGATTCAAGCTCAATGTGAGACCACAACCATGGGGTCCATGATGACTTTGGGTCCTGCTTAAGGTTCACTCAATGTGGACCTCAACATTGCATGATGTTTGGGGTCTCCTGTCATTGGAAGGGGTTCAACCTCAATGTGAGACCTCAACCATTGCCCCCATGATGAACCTGGGGTATCCTTGTCTTTGGAAAGGGGTTCAAGCTCCATTTGAGGCCTCAACTATTGGGTCCACTATGACTTTGGGCTCTCCTTCTCTTTGGAATTGGGTTCAGGGTCAATCTGAGACCTCAACCATTGGGTCCATGATGAACTTGGGGTATCCTTGTCTTTGGAAGGGGCTCAGGGTCAATGTGAGACCTCAACCATTGGGTCCATGATGAACTTGGGGTATCCTTGTCTTTGGAAGGGGGTTCAGGGTCAATGTGAGACCTCAACCATTGGGTCTATGATGGTTTTGGGGTCTCCTTCCCTTTGGAAGGGGGTTCAGGCTCAATGTGAGACCTCAACCATTGGGTCTATGATGGTTTTGGGGTCTCCTTCCCTTTGGAAGGGGGTTCAGGCTCAATGTGGGACCTCAACCATTGGGTCTATGATGGTTTTGGGGTCTCCTCTATTTGGAAGGGGTTCAGGGTCAATCTGAGACCTCAACCATTGGGTCCATGATGAACTTGGGGCATCCTTGTCTTTGGAAAGGGGTTCAGGCTCAATGTAGGACCTCAACCATTGATGTCCAGGTCCTTCCCACCCCATTCCATGCCCCCCATCACTCACGTCTTGAGGGTGCCCGAGGTCATCAGCTCGGTGACCAGGACAATGCACTTCTTGCCCTTGACCGTGGACTCCCAGGAGTCGTAGAAGCGGACGATGTTGGGGTGCTGCAGCCCCTTGAGCATCTCAGCCTCTTCCTTGAACCTCTGCTGCTCCACCTTGGTCAGCTTGCGGTCCTGGAGGCCATGGCACAACCTCAAACCACCCCATAGGCAAGGAGCATCCCCCTCCCCAATGCAATGGGTGAGCTTTGGCCCACCTCGAAGCTCCGTTGAGTCCCCCATGGAGCATTGAGGGGGCAGGAAGGGGATGGGATTCGTGGGCTGGGGCTCAGTGCCTCCGACATGGGGGTGATGGAGTTGGGAGCATCAGGGATTCATTGGGGTCTCCTTGCCTTGGGAATGGGGTTCAGGGTCCATCTGAGACCTCAACCATGGGGTCCATGATTAATTTGGGGTCTCCTTGTCATTGTAACTGAGTTCAACCTCAATGAGAGACCTCAACCATGGGCTCCATGATGAATTTGGGGTCTCCATGTCATTGTAAGTGGGTTCAACCTCAATCTGAGACCTCAACCATTGGGTCTATGATGACTTTGGTCTCTCCATGTCATTGCAAGTGGGTTCAACCTCAATTTGAGACCTCAAATATTGTGTCCATGATGAGTTTGGGGTCTTTGGAAGTTGGTTCAGGGTCAATCTAAGACCTCAACCATTGAGTCTATGATGACTTTGGGGTCATCAGAAGGGGGGTTCATGCTCAACCTAAGACCTCAACCATTGGGTCCACGCCGCCTTTGGCCCCTCCTTACCTACACAAGCGCATTCACGCTCAACCTAACACCTCAACCATCACCTCCCCCATGACCTCCCAACCCCAACAACCAAACCCCCCCCCCCTTTACCCCCTTACCCCATGCAGGCCCTCACCTGCAGCTCGCACCAGGCCACCTCCACCCAGGTGTCGGTGTCGAAGCCCTTGAAGACGCTCTTGAAGGCGCCGCGGCCCAGCTCGATGTCGAACTTGAGGAACCGCCCCCCCGGCGACGTCGCCACCGCCTTCATCTCCGCCTCCTCCTCCACCTCCTCCCTACCCGGGACCCCCCCACCCCCGGGATCCCCCCCCCGGGGCTCTTGGTCCCCTCCATCACTGGGGGGGCCCCGGTCCTCTTCCAGCAGCTCCACGCTCTTGCGGAAGAAGCGTTTTGGGGGGGATGGGGGGGTTTTGGGGGGGGGCGAGTCCGTGGCCATGGTTGGCTCCTATAGACCTCAATATGGGGGGGGTTGTTCCCCCTATGGAGCTATAGGGGAGTTTGGGGGGAGGGGGGGTCCGCAATGGTGTTTTGGGGGTGTCAGTGGAGGTGGGGGTGGTGTCAGCCCCCCCCCATGGGGGGACCTGTTGGGATAAAGAGGGGTTGTTAAGGGGGGGTTGATCCCCCTATAGAACCTATGGGTGCCTTAAATAAGCAACCCCCCCCCCCAGTTCTATAGGTGCCCTATAGACCCTCTAGGCATTATTTATGTACACATGCATACACACACACATATACCTATATATATACCCCCCCATAGCTCTATACCCTGCCCCCAATAGCCCCTGTGTGCCCCACACCCCCTATAGCCCCCTTATATAAACCCCCAATTGTCTCTATAACCCTTACGCGCCCTACACACTATAGGCCCCCCATTAGCCCCTATATACTCCAATAGCCCCTAAAGCCCCTATGTTCTCCCACCCCCCCATATCCCCTATAGCCCTCATGTGCCCTCTCATCCCCTATAGCCCCCCCCACGTCCTATAGCCCCCGTGCACCCCCTCATCCCCTATAGCTCCCATATCTCCTCTAGCCCCCCCATGCCCCCACACCCCCTTAGAACCGACGCGCACCCCCCAGCCCCTATAGCCCCTATAGAGCCGTTGTTATCCCTTATAGCCCCTATAGAGCCGTTGTTATCCCCTATAGCAGCCCCTGTAGAGCCCTTATCCCCTATAGCAGCCCCTATAGCCCCCATACCCCCCCACCCCTGCGCCCCCATCACCCCCCATTTCCCCCCCCCGCCCCCCCCAGCCCCACCGTCCCGCTCCCCTCCCTCCCCCCGCCCCTCCCGCGCACCTGCGTCACGTGACCGCGGCCGCGGGGGGGCTGCCGGGAGCTGGAGTCCTCTCAGGCCTCCGCCGTTGGCCACGCCCCTCGATCGGGCACTCGGCGCTCGATTGTGGCACCCGGCGTCGGCTCGCTGCGGCCTTCGGCGACGCGATCGATCACTCGGCGCTCGATTGGGCGCAGCGATCGATTATTCGGCGCTCCATTGGTCTCGCCCCCTCTCCTGCGCTTGCGCTCCCTCGCTCGGCGCCCGATCGATCGCTCGGCGCTCGGCCGCGGGCCCTGCGGGGGCGTCGCAATGGCGGCGCCCAGCGCGGAGGAGCGGGCGCTGCTGGAGCGCGGTGTGCGGGCGGTGCTGAGCGGCTGGGCCGCGCTGCAGGTGCGGAACGGGGGGGAACGGGGGAGAACGGGGGTGAGGGGGGGAGGTTGGGGACCCCAAGGCCCACGGGTGACCGTGTCCGTGCCCCGCAGTTGGCCGTGGCGCAGGGCTTCGGGGGCCCACAGAGCCCCGAGAAGGCCGCGTGGTTGGTGGGGGCGGTGCTGGAGTTCCTGAGCCAGAACCGTGAGTGCGGGGGGGGGCGGGGCGGGGGCAATGGGAGAACAACACAAAAACAACACAACAAAGAGGGATGAAGGGAGCTGGGATGGACTGGGAGGCATTGGGGACAGTGGAAGAGGGATGAAGGGCACTGGGATGGACTGGGAGGCATTGGGGCAGTGGAAGAGGGATGAAGGGCACTGGGATGGACTGGGAGGGCATTGGGAGAGGGATGGAGGGCACTGGGATGGACTGGGAGGCATTGGGGGCAGTGGAAGAGGGATGAAGGGCACTGGGATGGACTGGGAGGGCACTGGAATAGAGTGGGGTGAACTGAAAGGGAGTTGAAGGGCACTGGGACGGACTGGGAAGGCACTGGGGGGCACTGGGAGGGGGCTGAGCAGAACTGGGATGCACTGGGAGGGCACTGGGGCTGCCTCCCTCCCAGTATCCCCCTTTCCTCTGCCCCCCAGCTGAACTGGCCGAGGATGAGGTGGAAGATTTCCTGGCCGAGGTCATGGACAATGAGTTCGACACGGCTGTGGAGGATGGCAGCTTGCAGCAGGTACAGCCCAGTATGGACCAGTACAGACCAGTATGGACCAGGAGGCTCCCAGTTCCCCTCCCCCGCTGCCCCAGTACAGTTCAGATCCCCCCCCCCAGGCTCTTCCAAGCATCCTTTAGTGCTCCCAGGCCTCTCTTAGCACCCCCCATCCCTTCTTGGTGCACCCCAGAGCCTCCCAGTATAAACCAGTATAACCAGTAGCCTTCCCGTTCCTCACAAGAAGCGTTCAGGCCCTTCCTGAGTCACTCCCAGTACAGCCCGGTGGATCCCCAGGCCCTTGGTGATGCACTGCAGTGCTCCCATTCCCCTCCCAGTATAAACCAGTTTTCTCACAGTATATCCCAGTCCCACCCCAGTATATCCCAGCGCCTCCCAGTGTATCCCAGTCTCCATCCCTTCTCATTGTATCCCTGCTCTTGCAAGTATATCCTATCCCAATTCCCCCCTATGATTCCCTAGGCCTGTCCCTCCAATGTATCTCACTCCCTTCCCAGTATATCCCAGTCCTTTCCAGTGCACATCTAGTCTATTTCAGGTCCTTCCCAGTTCCCTCATAGCCCCTTCCAATGCCTCCCAGTCTATCCCAGTCCCACCCACTGCCCTTCCAGTATATCCCATTGTATCCCAGCTCTATCCCTGCCTATGCTAGTCCCATCTCAGTGTATCCCAGCCCTATCACATTCTATCCCAGTCTATCCCATACCTATCCTTGTCTATCCCAGTCTATCCCATTGCTATCCCTGTGCATCCCGTTCTATCCCAGTGCTATCCCTGTGCATCCCGTTCTATCCCAGTGCATCTCGTTCTATCCCAGCCCTAGCCCTGTCTATTCCAGCCCTATGCCTGTGTATCCCATTCTATCTGAGTCCGATCCCAGTGTATCCCAGTGCTATCCCATTCTATCCCTGTCTATACCAGTCGCATCCCGGTCCTATCCCATTCTATCCCAGCGCTATCCTTGTCTATCCCAGTGCTATCTCGTTCCATCCCAATCTGTCCCATTCTGTCTAAGCCCTATCCCGTTCTATCCCAGTCCATCCCATTCTATCCCGGTCTATCCCACTCTATCCCATTCTGTCCCAGTCTATCCTAGCCCTATCCCAGTCCATCCCATTCTACACCATTCTATCCCAGTCTACTCCATTCTATCCCAGCACTATCCCTGTCTATCCCAGCGCTATCCCAGTCTATCCCAGCCCTATCCCACTCTATCCCATTCTGTCCCAATCTCTTCTATCCCAGTCTACCCCATTCTATCCCAGCACTATCCCATTCTATCACAGTCTATCCCATTCTATCCCAGCCCTATTCCACTCTATCCCATTCTATCCCATTCTATCCCATTCTATCCCATTCTATCCCATTCCATCCCATTCTATCCCATTCTATCCCATTCTATCCCATTCTATCCCATTCCATCCCATTCCACCCCATTCTATCCCATTCCCCCCGCAGGTGAGCCGGGAGCTGCTGTCTCTGTTCACGCGGGTACGGGAGGGCGACGTGGGGGGGGTGGGGGAGGCGCTGGCGGCCCTGGCCCGGCGTGGCCCCGCCCTCGCCTCCGCGCTGGCCAATGCGCGGCCTGGCCACACCCCCGAGCCCGCCTCTGGCCACGCCCCCGACCCCGCCCCTCAGAGCCCCGGGACCAGCAGTGAGGAGGAGGAAGAGGTAGGGGTGGGTGATGATGTCATAGAATGGGCGGGGTCACTATTGGTGGGTGTGGCCTGTGGTGATGATGTCATTGGGAGAGCGCTGATGATGTCATTATGGGGACCTCAAGATATATGGGGGGAATGGGTTCCCTATGCTGTGTATGGGGTTGATGATGTCATCAAATGGGGTGGGGCATTGGGGGGGGCATGGGTGATGTCATTGAAGGGGGGTGCCCCATTGGGGGGAGGGCAGTAATGACATCATCAAACTGGAGACACACTCCTAGGATGGGGGGGCAGTGATGATGTCACCAAAGGGGTCACACTGATGATGTCACCAAAGGGGTCACACTGATGATGTCACCAAAGGGGTCACACTGATGACGTCACCAAAGGGCTCACACTGATGACGTCACCAAAGGGGTCACACTGATGACGTCACCAAAGGGGTCACACTGATGATGTCACCAAAGGGCTCACACTGATGATGTCACCAAAGGGGTCACCCTGATGATGTCACCAAAGGGGTCACACTGATGATGTCACCGAAGGGGTCACACTGATGATGTCACCAAAGGGGTCACACTGATGATGTCACCAAAGGGGTCACACTGATGATGTCACCAAAGGGGTCACGCTGATGACGTCACCAAAGGGGTCACACTGATGACGTCACCAAAGGGGTCACTCTGATGACGTCACCAAAGGGGTCACACTGATGATGTCACCAAAGGGGTCACGCTGATGACGTCACCAAAGGGGTCACACTGATGACGTCACCAAAGGGGTCACGCTGATGATGTCATCTTCCCCCCCCCAGGCAATGGAGTGCGGGACCCCCCCGGCCCCCCCTGATGGTTGGACCCTGGTGCGGAGGCGACGCCGATGATGGGGGGGGGGAATAAAGAGCCCCCAGTTGGGGGTGCAAGGAGGTGTCAAGGGCGCTTTCTTGGGGGGGGACACAGACCCTATAGAGACCCCCCCCTGCCCTATAGAGGCTCTATAGCCCTGGACCTATAGAGCCCCCCATGCTCCATAGAGACCCTAGGGTCCCTATAGAGCCCTCCCTGCCCCATGCAATCCCTATGGCCCCATAGAGACCCCTGTGACTCTATGGAGGCTGTGTAGCTCCATAACCCCATACC